AAAGCCCGCCGCCACACTGCTCAGCTGCCACAGCACAGAGATGCACTAGGGCTCACTTCCCACACCATAACTGTACAGGACACCCTCCTCACTTCAGTTCATCCCAGCCTCATTAGCAAAATCTGATCTCCTCAGACCTTTCGCCTGCTTTTGGCTGTACAAATACATGCAGTTTGACTAACAGGAGTCTCTAAATGTGCGTGTGCCCTGTGATGGACTGGCATCCTGTCCAGGGTGTACCCGGCCTAATGCCCTGTGATGGACTGGCATCCTGTCCAGGGTGTACCCGGCCTAATGCCCTGTGATGGACTGGCATCCTGTCCAGGGTGCATCTCGGCCTTTATAAGCCCTTTGCCACATGGGATTGGTTCCAGGCATGTTCACAAACATGACAAAGATAAGGGCAAAGAAGACAGATTTCCCTGCTTTCTTAATTATGATTCCACATTTGAATAATAAATTCGATGATATTACGGCTGTAGACAGATGTTCAGTATGACAGCAGAATTGAGGCGTTATAGAGAGCGGCTTGCTGGCAAAACAGAACGACAACACCAAAGAGGCAAAAGCAAAACACGAAGCAGCAAGGACCCGAACTGTAATGAAACAATCAGCTTGCAGGAAATGGCCGTGCAGAGTCACAAAGGTACAAAGTCACAAAGGGAAGAGTCACTAATCAAGCAAGTCATTATACAGCAATATATTCACCACACTGACCGGGATTAAGTGGAATCTAATGAATCATCCTGATTCCTGAATTATCTGCATGCTAGAACAATAATACCCCAAAGTTTCAACAGCTACCACAGGCATTACAGCAGGGTTATTCAAATCACGGTCCTCGAGGTCCGAGCACTGCTGGTTTTCCAGCCTTCCTTTACCTGTCAGTCAGGTGTGAAGCCTCTGACCAATCAGAATCAGTAATTATTTAACTACCTGGGAGAACTGAAACCTGCATTACAGGAAGCTTCTAATTTAGGGTCCATACTCAGCTGTAGATATACCTAAATTGTCATCTGTGCTTTGTAAGTATAAAGCTAAAAGCTAATATTTACCAGTGGAAATCAACACGTGTTTTTAGTGATGACCTTTGCATTCTGATTCAGTGGTAAAACTGCAGATAGCCCCAGGAAACACCCCCCCCCCCTGCTGACCACCACCATCCAATCCCAACGTGCGGCTCAATCTGTTCGTCATGCACATGACAAATAAAAAACTTTGACTCCACCCATCAAGCAGCCCTAGTCATCCCATCATTTTCATTAACTCCAAGCCCTGTCAGTCCCTTAATTAGCGGAAGCGGGTAGATTATGAAAGGATCACGGAGAGGGTGGATGCTTGATGAAAAGGTCTGGAAATCGCCGTTTTATAGAATATCAATGAACCCTCACAGGACTGAAGGGTTGTGGCTCTTTAAGGGCATGTGAAGCAAACGTCCTGTCAGTGCCACAGAAAAGCTAAATTTAAATGAATTCAGTGCTCAAGGGGAGCTTCTGGGGGACAAAGGACCGACTTAGGGCTTTACTGCCCGCTTGTTTTAAACATGCACTTATCCAATCAAAACCGGGCGATTCATCCACGGTGACGGGGCAATTAACAGCTGCAAAGGGTGACAACATTCAGATTCCACAGGCAATGGATCAAGGGTCCAATTCTCAGCACCTGCAGATTCAATCAGCCTCAGCGAAAGAGAGGCATTAAGGGCCAATTCAGATGTGATGGTGTGAAAGTGCTCACACTGTCAGGCAGAAATCAGGCGGCACCATGTTCACAAACACAGGGACCAGAATGGCAAGGTTGGGAGAAACCCAAACGGATTCTTTCCCCCGTACAGGTAAAAGGCCTAAAACGGACTGAGTTCAGCTCTGAGTGATTTGCAGAGCTCTTTAAAACAAAGCTAATACAACTCTGTGAAAAATGTGCAAACAGCCATGGGTTTTTTGCACTGTGTGAAATGCATTCACTGTCTGTCTCACTTAGAGGCTGGGGCTAACTTATTACCCATGGCAGGCAGTTCCAGGAAAACTTACGAGTTTCTTCTTAAAGAGACAGAGACCCTGGTATTAGGCAAAGGTTTGTTTGTTTGTTTGTTTGTTTTTGTTCTGATAGCTAGTTCCTTTTCATGTTTACAGTCATCAAAACAAAAAGGGATCATCCATAAACTACAGACTTCCATGCATGTCACATGGAACAGGTCAGGTCGGGGAGCATGCGCTGATGCAGCGCGTTGCCGCACCCACCACGTGACGAAACACCTTGGGATCACAGCTGGCGACCCCCCGAGCAGACACATGGTCCAGTCCCATTCTCCAGAAATGGCCATCCATTTCCCACAGTCAGGTGTTATGTGAGCGTCCCCTCAGCCTGGTCCAGCCTCTTGAGCCCTCAGCAATGAGGATCCTGCGAGCCGGATCACCCTCAGGGAATCACGCCACATGGCCGAAGTGCCGTAACTGACGCTCCCTGACAATGCAGGTAACATGCCTCATCCAGGATTACCTAAGCGACCACTTTTTCGACACAAAGTCAATCAGAAGTACCCTAGGATTCTCCGAAGAGACACAGTACCGAAGAAGTCCAGTCTTCGTCTCAGCACACTGGATAAGGTCCATGTCTCACAGCAATACAGCAAATTAGGGAGCACCAGGACTCTAAAGATTTGGACCTTTGTCCTCTTACAGAGATATTGGGAGCCACACAAACCCCTTTCCAGCGACCTCATGACCCTCACCTCATGACATGGAACAGCTGCTGTTATTAATGTGAAGGTACTGCGGATGACTCGAACCTGCAGCCTTGGAGTCGCGAGCCCATGATGTTAACCCCTATGCTACCTGGCATCCAGGAGAGCCAGCCCATGTCTGTCACTTTGTTTTCACACCAAGTCAGCTTTAGTTGACCAGCTGGCCCCCAGTGTTTGTGAGTCTTGTTGCATTTCATCTCACTTTTCCAGTTTAACAAGTTCACTGCCGACAGCAGCTGCAGGGACCCACAACTGAAAATCAGCTACGGCGTAGCACAGTAATGCTCTTCCTCATTCTAAGACAAAGCTGTTCTCTAGATTCTTATAATTGTGTCAATTATAAAAGCGGGCTGGTTTACTGAAGCAATCTGCGTGAAGTATCTTTCTCAGGGCTGAACCAGTGGAGCTCAGAATGGCACTGGGCAGCCACCCTTCAGATTATAAAACCACAACCTTTAATTAACGTAACCCCAGGTGCCTTCATCACTATGGCCTGTAACAGAGTGACATGCTGCATCCAAGCTGGATAGTGATTAAGTATACTATTGGCCCAGTGTTACTGATTACTCAAATACCCGAATACAGTAAACATCCTTAGATTGATCAACGCCAAAATATCCTGGCAGACATAATCCTATGTCTGCGTTCCACTAGAACCGGAAGACACATGCATCAAGAATTTCCAGAAACCACCTTCTTAGCATAATCTACTTCTCCTTTCAATATTTTCAAAGGACTGCAAAGCAGTCAAACTGTAGCTTCACTTTTCAACACCTTATAAAACGTATCGACAGAAGACAGTCAATTTACGATGAAGATTTTAAATAAAAATCAAAACTCCTCCAGAGATCATCACCCTCACCTTCAAACCTTGAACCTGAGATGGAGCCGGCAGGATGCACAACACTGGCCATGAGTGATTATAGCTAATCGCGTTTCCGCGGGTTCTGAATCACCAGGTTTGGTCAGAGGTAATAAAACTCCGGTTAGACTGTCAAACGATGGTCTAAAGAGGCCAGCTAGGCACATTAAAGCTAGTACAAAGTTCCCTCTTAGCAAAGGTTACTTTTTGCAAGTTGTCTTTTGTTATTTATGCCTGTAATATTCATTCGGATCCTTGTAATCAAACCGCCGTGACCTGGCGAACTGCGACTGCAGAAACTTCTGCACGTCGTCATGATAGTGAAATACTCACAAAAACGGATTCATGTCAACTGGCAGAGTATACTACAAGAATGACTATCTGTAACCATATTTTAAAAGAGGTTTTTAATAGTCTCCGTAGAGCTTAAAGATCATTACAAACAGGCATGCATTTATTTCCAGGTGGTTAATAACTACATTTCTTCACTGCGTCGCGCAAACGCCATCTGGATTCATGTTGAGGTTTTACACTTCACACAGATAAGGGGGGTCACACAATGAAACTCGCGTCATTTTGCCAAATCCGCGATTTTTGCCCCCGATTCTCCTGAAGTCGGTCCTGTGCCCGTGACTGGAACAAAGCGCTGACGTCATGGCCGAGCGCGCGCGCACACGCACGCACGCACGCGAGCACAGATACATACACGCATAAAACCGTCATTGCCCAGATTTTGCCCGTTTAATTAGCGGACTGGACTGGTCGAGCTTAGTGTCTCAAGCACGATTAATAACCCCACAAGTACAGTAACGAGCTCTTGGTTTATTTTCAAATAAAATCGAGTGTTTCGCTTGTAACCACCGAAGCAGGCAAAGCAGCCCCGATGCTTGCACACATATTTCCTTACTCAACTCATCCTTCATGACAGGTGCTGTGCAAATTTGCCTCACTTAAAACTGCAAATACAGCATACCTATAACTGCAGTGGTTTGTATGGGGGTGCTAACTGCAGCGGTTATAGCGAACAAGACGTACGAAGTGCCCGTGGTTGCTGAATGTATCCCCAATGTGTTGTGTTAGCATCCCCTCGACAGAGCAGCACTGATACTATGGCTATGTGGCTACACACACGTACACTACAGCAGCACAAAGGACTCTGCTACAGTGATATATCGTAAAGTGAGCATCCTGACTTCATCTCGGCAACTTCTGGGCTATTCTTCCTGTATGATAAAGAAAGCCATCGGTGGCTTGGCAAAGCAGCTTCTGCAATCTTCAAACTGCTAAAGGCGCAAACAGTCTCCTTTGAATTTAAAGTAATCTCCGTCAGGTACACTCAGCTGCTATAGTTATTACCACGGCTATTTCATGTTCGAAATATACGATCGTGCTTACCTCTGCGATCTCCTATTAGGCCCAAACCATCTCTATGGAAAGCCTTTTGTCTTTTTCACTTTCCAGTTTGTGCCCCCAAGTGACAAAAACAGGCAGTGATCAAGAAGGTACGACTATGCTGAAATATTTTTCTTCTTCATCATCAGTGCCTACGTTACCGACGGAGTAAAAGCACCCGCCTCACTTTCTCAGTCCATCGAAATGTAGCTAATCGACTAACTAGCCAGCTGATGTTTGCTAGCACATATTACCGACCAAACAGCGTCCCGGTGGGGTGCTGGCTGCCAGACTGAACTCAGCTCCTAACCTACGTCACATGCCTGCGATGTTCACCGCATCCACCCTCCTGGAAGAGCCAAGCCATCACAGAGCTCATTGCTCCACTTCTCTTTTCGCGTCGGTTCATACTGCCGGGGATCTCCACTTTTGTGCACGACTCAGTGAAACGGTGGATATGATTTTTAAAAGCCTTTCCCATCCAAAATCCAGGAACAACATTGTCCTGTGCAGTTGTCCTTGATTCTGATGTAACGGGCGTCAATGAGAGGTTTGGTCAGGAGATTTGCGCATGTACAACATTTTAGACGGACCTCTTCGCCTGAGCTGCTTTTGGAAAAGCTCGGTTAACGGTGTACATTTCATAACTCCCAGGTGCAGCCGACCAGCATCCATCCTCCT